ATATGTTCTAATGTAGTGTGTCCAAAATTAAGTTTTCTGATTAAAATGGATCAATAAGATGCAAAACAGAAACTAATATTAATCTCAGATTTTGTAACTCAATCATGGGTTTAATAATAATTTAGCAATTTCTTTAATGACCTGAATATTTGTCTATCAAATGCTTTCAAGTTATATTATCTTTTAATGTTAATACCTTGATGGGATGTTAAAAACAGCAGGGAAAAAACACACTAATAATCTTCCCTGGTCCCATACTCTCATGGAATTCCGTGGAGCTCAGTGAAGATTTATAAAAATAGTTTGGCTTAGAAATGATTAAGTTGTGGAGGGAGGTTTAAGGAGATAGAATCTTGGGTGAAATTTGAACTGTCAATGAGTGGGATAAATTACTGATTAGGTATAAATGAAATGTGCTATTAAGAAGTGCAGTTTGGACCAGAAGAAAACAAAAACATACCTAAAAGATAGAAAACTTTGTGGTCAGAGCAGAATACAATCCAAATCTAAATTAGTTTCAAAGAACTGAGGGTTGACTGTTATCCAAAAAGTCTTATCCAGCTGCTGCACTTAACATTACATCATACACATTTTCTCTGTTGCCATTGTTTTGCTTAATATTTTATTGGCTGTATCATATTACATTAAGTCAGTTGTGCATAACTTAACCTAGTCATCTTGCTATTGTTCAGTGTCTAGTCCTGGGAACATAAGAAATAATTTACTCTCAGATTCAGGCCTCTTCTTGTCAATATACCAACCAGGTTTGTTCACTTAATGATCTGAACTCACTGTAGGTATAATTACTCCCATTAATGAGTATCCCGAGAACTAAAAGACTGTGCAAAGATTCATATTTCTGAAGTGGGGCGCATACACACACACACACACACACACACGGTTTAAAACACATGTCCCCCTTGCCCTTTTGGCTAGTTATGATTAACTCTGCAAGGAATATCATCTTGCCTTTAAGTAATCTAATTGTGTTGTTGAAAAGTAAATTCTTATTAATATTTAATGATCCCTTACTCTGTCAAGCACTTTGCTGAGATTTTTCATGTACAGTGTATTCTTTAAGCTTCACAACAACTGAAGGAAGTAGACACTATTATTATTCACAGTTAACAGCTTGAGAAATTGAGGTTTAGAGAAAGTAAATAATTTGTCCAAGTTACAAAATTAAATAACAGAATCATACATAATGAGAGGAACTTGCTTTACTTTTTATTGATTTCCAAAAGTATAATTTCTGATAAAATTACTTCAAGGTTTAAAGTATTTAGAATATGAAATGAAATGTTTTTAAAAGGTCAGAAACTTGATATTCCTAACTATTCATTTACTTTAAAAACTTTCATTTACATGTTCTATGTGTATTTTGCCCTGGTTCCCTTGGGCAAATATAATATTTCTATTATATTGTTAGTTCCAACTCAAAATCTCCAAATTGTGCCCTAAGGTACAAAGCAGTTAAACTATGTTAGGCCCTGAAGAGAAATTTGACTTGCTTATGATTGTATTAGACTTTTTCATAAAAGAGTTCTCATAAAACTATTGCAGCTCTAAAGCTGTGGTTGAAAATGAGATTGAAACCTAGATGCAGAAGCAAGATGCCAAGTATTCAAATTGAATACATTGTTAATCTTGGGTAGATTTTGGTATTTTACTATTTTGTGAAAGAGTATTTTGATATACAAGAAAAATCATGATTTTTTCCTGTATCCTACTTTGCTTTTGTTAATGAAACACTTCATTTAGTTCTAATAACCATAGATTAGTTTGGCTACAGTTTATTTTCTGGGAAGTACAGGTAAATAAACAAGCTCATAGAAACAACACTAAATGTTGATGGCTTTCTGGTCCCATTTTGCTCCTGTTTACCTGAATCTGTCTCCATCTGTTACTTAACAAAAACTTGGAGAGAGCCATTTTTGCAAATCAGCCAATCTGCTTTTAGCCAAGTCTTTTATATAATAAGGTCAACAGAGAACATTCCCGTTATATAGATGAGGAAATTGCATGCCTTTGAGCACAGTTAAGTGACTTGCCCAACCTCATAACTGTTAATGGTACATGAGGGCTGACACTCAGGACTTGTGGCTTGGGATGAGTAATTAATACTGCTCTAGGCTGCCCTGCTACTCCTCTCCCCCACCCCCATGATTTATTGCTTCCTAGGGAACCCACAGATAGTGCTAGCCCAGCGATGTGGGGAGAATAAAGTACTGGAAGAGTTAGCTCCTTGTCCTGCCTTCTTTGGGGGTTATTTGCAACATTTCTGCCTTTTCAGGAAATGTCACCTGAGCAAGTAATGATATGGTTCATTGTGTGAAAGCTATCTAAAGGGTCAACTTCACTGCGTGTTCGTTGTCTATCCAATGGCAATGCGATGATTTTCTGACCAAACCAGCACATTCTTTTAAGACTAAACAGAGACATTAAGTAATACAAATTTAGAATATGTATTTGACTAACAAATATATTAGTGGACCTATAAAAGAGTTCTATTCAAAGCTGTTTTCCAAATTAACATTTTAAAAGGTAACTAGTTTTTATTCTTATACATTAAGACAATTAAAAATTTTAATATATATTTATTTAATGTTTGGTTAATTGTGTGAATATTAATTTTTAACATGTGGAATTCCTGGTACATATTCACTTACTTGAATCCGTTTCTTAGCTGTATCTTCCTTTAATACCTGGATACTGATAATTTTCAGAAAAAAATTTTATGCTTAATTTAAAAATTAAATTCACTTTTTTAAGTTACAAATTACACTTTTTTTTTGGACAGTATTTTTAGTTTTAAAAGTACTTTCTCTACAGATGCTAAAACACCTGGTAAGCTCAGAGGAAAACTGCTAAATGGAACAGTCTCAATCTAGTTTTTTTCATATTTAAATGTGAAGATATTTCAGTCTAAATATTTTCATGGGCAATATCTTTGTGTCTCCTTTTAGAGGACCTTTCTTTGACAAATATCTAAGATAAAGTCACCAAGTCAGTTCCAATTTATGATGTTAAACATATTTTGTTATATTTAGATGCGGTAAAATTATAGGCCTCAATTCTATTACATTACAGAATACAAATTTATTGAGAGGGAAAAATAGGAATTCTGTCAAAAGGTTCTTCCCACAAACTGGAACATTTTAAATTGGGATTATAGATACATTTGTTTACTAAGGTTGCCATAAGCAAAGTCCCACAACCTAGAAGGCTTAAAACAACAGACATATATCCTCATACTTTTGAAGCTGAAAGTCCAAAATCAAGGTATCAGCAGAGCCATGCTCTCCTAACCTCTTATTGCTGGCAATCTTTGGTTTTCCTTGGTTTATAGCTGCAGAACTCCAGTCTCCGCCTCTAGTCACATGCCCATCTTCCCTCTGGGTCTTCACATGGACATATCCATACAATTATGGATGGGTCAGCTGCTACTGAAAATGCTCAAAGACCCCATTCATAATTGGGTGGCAATCTTACAGATACTACTTATAAACACCAGCTAATTCAGGCTATATCATGTCAGCTATAATTAGCAAGCTAACTTAGCATTTTAGTGCTATAAAGTGAAGTGAGCACTGTCATTCTCTTAGACCCCAACATACAGACCTCAGTCAAGTTTAATCTGTGTAATGTCTCTTGGGAAGCCAGGAATCAATTTATGCCATTGTCAGCTCTGACATTCTCTTTGTAGTTTCTAGGCCATAACTCTACTGGATTATTTTCAGAGATTGCCTATTTCACAGTAGCCTATGAACAAATTATTCTTTTGAACAGAATCAACTGTAAGACATGTTAGCAGCAGAGCAACTGTTCATATGCTCTAAAATGCAACATGGAGATCAAGTGGTTTTGTGTTTTAAAATGTGTGTTCTTTACTGTGTGAGTGAATTTCAGTATATTAGCATATAATACTGCTTCTATAATAGAGTATTTTACCCTAACTGAATATTACTGACACAGTTTAACTTACGGAAAATATTTATTGTTTAGCTATTTTTTAGAAATGAACCATAAAACTTCTAGAAGGAAACACTGGAGAAAACCTCTGTGACCCTGAGTTAGGCAAATATTCCTTATACCCAACACCAAAGCCATGATCCATAAAAAGAAAATCAATTGAAATACATTAAAATTCAGAACTGATATTTCAAAGACACAGTTAAGAGAATGAAAAGGCAAAGCACATACTGGGAGAAGATATTTCAAATGACATAGGACTTGAATCTAGGATATATAAAGCATTCTCAAAACTTCAATAGTAAGGAAACAACCTGTTAAACAATGGGCAAAAAGTTAAATTACACAGTTCAACAAAGAGGTTGGGCAGATGATAAATAAGCACTGAAAAGATGCTTAACATCGTGATTCACTGTAGGAATGCAAATTAAGAGCACGATGAGATGCCAGCATAAAGGCAGCAGTCTGTCTAAGGTAAAAGACTGACCGTACCAAGTGATGGCAAGAATGCGGAGCTACTGGAACTCTCATGCTGCTTGTAGAAATGTCAAATTCTGTAACCACTTATAGCAGGTCGCCAGTTTCTTAAAAATTTAGACATATACCTACCATATGTTTCAGCCATTCTACTTAAGGTATTTGTGCAAGAGAAATGAAAGCATATGTGTATACAACGACTTGTATGTGAGTGTTCCTAACAGCTTTATCTGTCATGACTACAAACTGGAAAGAACCCAAATATCCATCAACAACTGAATGGATAAACAAATTTTTAGGTGTCCATACAATGGAAAACTACTCAGCAATAAAAAGAAATGACCTATTGATACATGCAACAACATTAATGAACCTTAATTATGCTGAGTGAAAATGGCTAGATAAAAAGGAGTGTGTAGTGCATAATTTCATTTTTATAAAATTCGTGATGATACAAACTAATATACAGTGAGAGAAGGCAGATCAGTGGTTGTGTGGTGATGGATGGGGCACGTGGCAGGGACATACAGAATGGTGGGATCACAAAGGGGTACCAGGAAACTTTTGGGGGTGATGGATATGCTCATTTTCTTGTGGTGATGGTTTCCCAGGTATGTACATATATTAAAACATCAAATTGTACACATTAAATATGTATAGTTTATTGTATGCCGTAAAGCTATTATTACACTTCAATAAAGCTATTATTAATTTAGGACAGTGGAGCAAGTGTGATACACTGAATTTTCCATGAACTTCCATGTTTGAAAGCTATTAAATTTTTTAGTGAAAAGTCAACAAAATTAAAATCAAAGAACAGTTTATTTATAATGTCTAGTTTTAATTGTATTGTCTAACCAGTTTATTCACTTAGTTAATTATTTACCCAGGATTATGATTATTATTAAAATGTACTTTTGTGTTGAAGAAGTGGTTTTCAAACACGGTTATGCACAAGAATACTTGTGGAAACTTGCTAGATATGCAGATTCCCAGGCTTCACCCTCTAGGGATTGTGAATTGTGGGTGTGGTCTTGGGATCTGGGAATCTGCAAGTTCAGCCAGCTTCCCAGGCAATTTTAATGTTATCTATCCATAGACTGCATTTTGGAATCACTTCTCAGCAGAGCAATGTTTACATCAAAATTGTCTGAACTTGGATGAGCACTGTGGACCACTGGGGCTAGACTGAAATGGAGTATTCTTGGTCTGGTTCTGCCTGTATGTCCTCCAACCTGTTAGGGAAGGCAGCCGACTTATTTGGAAGCGGCAGCAAGTTTGCACTTTGTGTGTTGGCTGACATTCATGCTGCCCACACTTGCTAGAAAGTAAAGAGTCTACAGGGACTGGAAAGAATTAAGGTGCTATAAGCGTTTCCCTTCCTCTCCTGCTTCCTCCTCCTGCTCTCCTCCTTCTTCACAGTACTCACTGGCCTGCACTTGGCATTTTATGTAACAGTCATGGCAGCAGGGAGAAGGAGCCGTCTTATACTTGATCAGATACCTTTAAGAAATAAACTCACAGTCAGAGTAACAGTTTATCACTTGTAAGTTTGACATCATGGTGAGCTGGCAAGCCTTCCAAGAAAGCATTTATTTGTGCCTTTTCAGAGATAGATTTATGTCATTTATCAAAGCATAGCATCTTTTACCTTCTTAAGTACTTATATAAACTGCCAGGGAGTAATGTTCTGTGCAAAATTTTTTCATTAGAAATGGTGCCATGGTATGGGGAACAACTGGGCCATCTGCTTACCGACCTGGTTCCCACAGTAATCAGTGACAAGCGTGGCAAGACTGTCGGCTATTGTCCTAAGACTGTGAAATAAAATTTCTCCTTGAATAAGTTAAAAGAGTTTTGTAGTACAGAGCTCATGATTTCAGGGCCTTGTATAGGGTAACAAAGAGTGAACAGCCTAGCCTTAGGGTCACAAGACTGTGGGGTCACATGCAACGTGGCACGAGGCTTTGAAGATGGGTATCAGTTTTAACTAGACCATGCTGATCTGCCTCTTCTGAAAAAATAGCAGAGCTTTCAATAGAGCCAATATTATAGTCCAGATCTTGAGTATGTGGTTTGATGATAAGAACATGTATGATAGTAATAAAGAAATGTATACTATAGATAGATTATAATGTAGATCTAAAACTAAAAAGCAGAATTAGAATCTTTCACAAAATTAATTATAAATATATTTATGAACCTGAAGAACTGGGTGTCAGATACACTTGAAAAAATAAATCAAATTTTGGATGCTCACTGGGAGATTCATAGGCGTGTTAGTCACAGTCACCCTTGTATCTTAAACACACGTTGTTGAATGTTCTTTATTGTGTCAGTCCTACATTTATTCTTTTGTTCTCCACAGACACGATGCCATTGTTATCTCAGGAACTGAAATGGCCAAACAAATCCAGGAAGAAATACAGCAGGGTGTGGAGTCCTGGATCTCCCTTGGGAACAGAAGACCTCACCTCAGTATCGTGTTAGTGGGTGATAACCCAGCAAGCCACACCTATGTCAGGAAGAAGATCCGAGCCGCCTCCGCTGTAGGTGCGGGTAGTTCAGGTGTACTTGTCCCTGAAGGATGTTCCTGGGTTTACTTAGAAGGATAATAATTACGAATGGTAATTGTCAAATAAGTGTTACTTGAATAACATTTATTATGATAGATTTTTTTAGTTACCAACACATATGTTCACTTCTTACTCCTTAAGTTTTTTATGGAATCAGTTCTGCGTGCTTTCAGATGCTATGGCGAGATGTGAGAGGAAAACTTTACACTTAAAGGGCCCATTTTTATTACATTTGCTTTAATGAGATAATACATCTGGCCAGTTCACTTTGTCAAATGTGGTCTGTGGTGGCAGTGGTGCTATTGTTATTTTTACTGTATTCAAATTCACTGATAGTAGCTTATCACAAATAAGTGCAATTTGGCTTATAGGATACTGGGCCAAAGAATGCATGTGAATCATGAGAAAACATCTGTTTGTTACTATTTGAGAAATCCCTTCTGATAATGCTTAGGACATCATTTCTGTAGAAGGGCCTTTCCTTCCTGTGAGACAGGAGCAGAGAAAACCAGTTACACACTGTGTAAGACAGTATTAATAAAAAGAACACACCCTTGTTACTCAGGTGACTGCCTGTGCTTATTTTCTTCTAGGTATCTATAGTGAGGTCATTCTAAAACCTAAGGATGTTTCTCAGGAAGAGCTTCTGGATATAACTGATCAACTGAACATGGACCCAAGAGTCAGTGGCATATTAGTTCAGTTGCCACTGCCAGGTACTTAATGCTTTTCTGTATGTCTGGTGTGGTTAGGAGCAAGGGCATCTTTCAGCATTATGTCATGACACTGCAAGTATTTTATAGAATTTGTCCAGAGGGATCCAGCTATTATACTAGCATGTGATAGGGAACAATTTCTGAATGACTTATGCTTACAGTGACTGAGAATTGTGAAAGAACAATTTAGACATTGACAATACGTGCAGTCCTTGCTTTGCACAGTGCTGCCACACCATAAAGGTGACTGTGTAAACTGAAACCAGGCAAAGTGATCTTAATCAAGGGCAAAATTAACGATTAACCTTTAAAATGTTCTCTCAAAACATTATAAACTTCCTTACTGTGGTTTATAAATGTATACAGAAATGAAAAAATAGTAAAACTAATATTTATTTAGTACACTATAATTTAAAACATGAAAATTTTGAGAATTTAAGTATTTTATTTCTTTGCAAAAAACTTGTCAATAGGAGTTGGAACACAACTTGCCTTCTTCTCATCAAATAACTTACAATATGGAGCAAACATCTTTTCTGTGTCCTGGTGACTTGAACTTTCGTCTTTCTTTCTAAGTTTGGATCAGCTTTGATTTTGTACTTTGCACTTTCAAAGTTGTGGAATATCTCTGTCTTTAAAGTGAAGTTTTATGCGGTGTCACTTCCTCTGGGACACTGTCATTCTTTTTGTCACAATAACTTTCCTCACTGATATCGATAAGTTCACCTCTGAATTCTTGTGACTGCCTGAGCTATATTGCTTCTAGGGGCACAGTGTCCACATTCTAGAGTCACCTCTTTCTTGTACAACCCATTTACATTCAATTAGCATCCTCCTGAAGGGACTTTAGCTTGTTTTTTACATTCATAGTTCTTCACTTCACTTCATGCTGGCCTAGCTTTTGCTTATCTTTGCTTGGCTGTCACCATTTTCAGATCTAGTCACATCCCATTTCAGTTTCAGCAACAGCATATTTTGTCTCTTTGCTGTACTTTTCTTGTCATAGGCTAGTTCCCTCGGTTGATTATGCACTTTTGGGAGACGTCATGTGGATTTACACTTGGAGACAAGGAGGCAGTGTGCTTTGCTGTCTGTGTTTGAACTGAATACAAATGTGCAGTGGCCAATCATGGACTTTGAAAGAAGTGCCACTTTGGTCACTGCTCTTGATTCCACATCTATTATTTACATAGGGATTGATAGACCAAAGAGCCAGCGGCTCTTATATAATACAGTTAATAGACCATGATAACTGACATTTGAACTGTGTTGTTGGAGCGCTGGTATTATTTTACTAGTGTGGCTCTGAAATTTGTGCATTTTTCAACTGAGTGAAGCAAGGACTGCTGATATGGTGTGGGTTACCGTAGTTTTGTGCAGGTTTGCATTCTTCTGTAAGTTTTGACTTGCAGAAAATAAAAGATGTATGATTCTTTGCCTGGGACCTTTATATGCTATAAATATTTTAATTTCTCCAACAATATAACTTAATATCTTAGTATGTTATAACTTCTGTGCTGATTAAATTACACCAAAAATTCTTTTCTAATTCTGATTCCAAAATGGCTGCATTTAAAAAATCATAAAGTTGGAAAGGATCTAAGAAGTCATCAGGTGATCAAGGTTTCCCCCTGAGAAAATTAAGATAATACTATGGATTTATCATGTTAAAATTAGTATAATAATTCATCATTTGCTCTTAGAACTAGAAAGAAATTCAACACATACAACACCTTTATTTCACATTATAGGAAACCAAGGTCTAGAAAATATCAGGGGTTTAATAACATCACAAATCTGTCCAAAAAATCTTGGCAATGGGCTCAAACCCGATTGTTTGACTCATGCCAAAAAAAGAAAAACAAACTTTTTTTTTGTACTGTGCATGTATTTGCCAAGCAATCTATTTATAGTTTGCAGTTTATGACATTTCCTCCATTTGCATTTGTGCTACATTCAAATAGTTATACAAGAGGTTACAAATTTGCAAAGAACAACATTAGATTTAGTCTGTCTTAAAAAATTAAATTTCTAGCTGTGGAAATTTTACTCCTTTGTGGGCAATATTCCTCAATTGGTTAATTTGTTAGCAATACCACTAGATGGCACTGGTGATCTATCTGTACTAAAATCAGTTGCTTGAGCCCTGTTGGTTTTAGAGGGTGAGAAACAGAGTCAGAGAGACCAAGGTGGTAACAAATATCTGGATGCTCTTAGAAAGGACAGTTTTCAATTAGCTGAAAAGCTAATAATATACAAAGTAATAGTGGCTAACATTTATTGCATTAAGCAGTTATGTCTCAGACCACTGCATTTATTAATTTATTAAATCCTCACAATAATCTTGTGAGGTTGGAGCTTTTATTAAGCACATTTTATTGATAAGGGATTTGAGGCACCGAGAGGTTAAGTAACTTTCCCTGAGGTGACAGAGCTGTTAAGTAATTGCCCTGGGATGTGAATCCTTGTGGACTGGTCACTCACGGCATTACCTTAGGCCATTTTGGTAGCACCCTCACCAGCCTATCAGTGTTGGCTAGTGAATAATGTGTGCTTATGTTGCAGGTACTCCTCTGTACGGGTTATTTTATTTAATCTCCAAAAGCCTTATGAGTAGGAATTATCTTCTTCATTTCACAGATGAGGATACTGAAACACAGAGGTTAAATGAATTTCCAATATTACGTGGTAGTAAATGGTAGAGCCAGGACCCAGATTCAGGCAGCCTGATTCCAGAGCCTGCCTTTTTAACCTTTAGTAACCTATGTTATGCTGACTCTGAACATTATAAGCACATATGTTTCAAGCATTCACATTCAGGTTCCTAGTGCATGTAACTACCATCTCAACTAGAATCATCTCAGTGATATTCCATCTGTTCTACCTGCTTTCTAGCCTTGCACCCTATATTTTTATGGCTTTGTCCTGCTCAATAATGATATTTCTGTCATTATTCATAATTTCTTTTTGGTAACAGTGAGAGTAAAGACAGGTATTAAATATACTATTCCTCCTGAAGTGGCCTGTGTTTTATTTGCGTAATCATATAGTGAGTGGTATGTTCTTGTTAGCAGAAGATACCATTTAGCTATGGATATATACAGTCTGAGTTTGTAATCTGGCCTTCTGATTTACTGACTGTTATTTATCTGACAAATCACTTTTTTTCCTCATTGTAAGGAGAAGATTGAAATAGATTTTTATTCAACTCATTTGGATCATATAGTTTGTTGGTTAATAGAGAAAGTTGATTAAAATAGAAAGTCATAAGAACAATGCATATTTACCTTAAAAATTGCATTATAACATAAAACATTTACTTATTCATCAATTTTTAAAAATATGTCTTTATTGATTTCAGAGAGAGGAAAGGAGGGGGAGAGAGAGAGAGACAGAAACATCAATGATGAGTCATTGATCGGCTGCCTCCTGCACACCCCCGACTGGGGATGGAGCCCGAAGCCCTGGCATGTGCCCTGACTGGGAATTGAACCACTATCTCCTGGATCCTAGGTCGATGCTCAGCCTCCAAGCCACACCCAGCCAGGAGCTTCATCAATCTTTTGATGTGGGTCCAAGACTCTTTGGAACCCACTGATTGAAATTTTGTATCATTTTCTGGCATTAATAATACGTATGATTCATCGCCTATAATTTTTCAGTTGGAGGTAAAGCTGAGTGAAAATTTGTCTATATTTTAAAAATGTCCCCAAAGCCCAGTCGAAGTGGCTCAGTGGTTGAGCGTTGACCCATGAACCAGAAGGTCACAATTTGATTCTCTTCAGGACACATGACTGATTTTGGGCTTAATCCCCAGTAGAGGGCATGCAGGAGACAACCGATCAATGATTCTCTCTCATCATTAATGTTTCTCTCTCTCTTCCTCTCTCTGAAATGAATAAAAACATGTATATTTTTTAAAAATCTCCCAATTTCCATAGTGGTCTTGCCCTTATCTAAATCACTACTACTTTTTTTTTTTTTTTTAGTTCTCAAGAGTCTTTCCAGAACATTCAGCTTAATTTTCATAAGAGTAACAGCTGTTTCACTCTCCATTGTTATTTGGTTATATCATTTTTAAATTACACAATTTACTGCGAAAGAACTGGCAGAAACAGATTGGGACATATACACAATTATTTCTTGATTACCATGAAACTCAACTGGTAGGAGCAGGAGTAGTTTATTAACTACTCTCTGATATTCTCTCGGCAAGTCCTGGCCATCAGCCTGCATGTTTTACAGAAGCAGTGGAATACATTAGTCTTTTTGGTAGGTGGCTATGTGGAAGTGGGTTGAGATAGCCTCTCCTGTACATGTCTTACAGGATTGTTATAATGAACCAATGAAACAGTGAATAAATGAACAAATGAAACGATTCTATTCAGTTACACCTGCAATTTTCTATCATTTGGTTAATAATCTGAATTTCAAATTATTTCATGATTAGAAATCTGAGATTATTTTTTATAATTACGGCAATATCTTAAGTAAAAGAAATTCCAAGTTAGAATTATAATTCTGATATTGTAGGACAAGTTTGCTTAAGGATTAAACAGAATGTACAGGCAGTTTCCATGTACTCATTTGGGTAAAAAGCAAAGAAATGAGAGAGATTTATAGCTAATAAGCCAACACAGGAGATAAAATGGAATTATTAAAACATTTAATTATTCTAAAGGAGGGAAGAAAAAAAATGAAGTGATTATGTTAAGATCAGATATCTAAGTTCACATAGAACGTTTACCAAGATATACCATTTTCTAGGTCTTAAAAAAACTTTACATTGTTTAAAAGGGTTCATGACACCCAAAGCGTGTTTTGTCACCACAGTGGAGTTAAATTAAAAAAATTAGTAACAGAAAAATATCTGGAAAACCTCCAAACATTTAAAAACTAAATAACACACTTTTAAATAACCCATGTTATTTACTGATAATATACTATAGTCATAGATTGAAGACTAAATATTGTTAAGCTGTCAGTTATCCTGAAATTGA